GAGAGAGAGTCAATTGAATTAGTCAGACGGCTCAAAGTCTATCTCGCCTATGACTGATAAGTCTATTTATATATTTTCAGTTAGAACCAGTAAAATATTGAACAATGATAAAAATAAATGTAAGTATATTAAGCATTAAATAATAAGAGAATATAAATTACATTTTAAGCTTTTATATATATATTAATTAGTTTACTCTAAATATCTACTAGTTTATATATTAAATTAATACAAATGTTATGTTATAATTCAACTATTGGTGTAAAACTGAATTTAAACTAAATGTAACCTAGTCCAATATTTTTATGCAAATTTAACAAGCTCCTACCCATGTGTTAAAGTGGTTAACTTTTAGATTTAAAACTTTTACTTGTTTTTGTCTAAATAATTATTTATTACGTCAGTCGAAACCAATATTTAATCATTAACTAAGTAGGTACTAATATAATATATTAATTGACAATTGTAAACAAGTACACTATTTGAAATAATGTGACATTGTTTATAATTTATCAGACACAATATTTTTGTTTGTTTTCTAAACACACTATTGTAATTTAACTATATAAAAAGCTTTACTTTAATTTTACTACATTATATAATTAATATTTACATGATTTAAGTTGATGAAAATCAGTTTATGAGTTATCACACTTTGGCTGAGTAACCAATCATATACAATCGGTAAGGTAATCACTTCCATTCGATTTAGTTGTACGTGACTGACAAAATATTTGTTTTGTTTACTGTAAGTATTCTTCATGAATAAGTCTTCATCATGTCTGTATCACTTCACTTGTGATTATCCTCTCAGCATAGTAGTAATAACTAGGTAATAGCACCCATGTCAGACACTGAAATTTATCAATCACACAGCAGCAGTGGAGCGTTCACCTTACTCTGCACACAACACTGTGCAGCCTCCTTATAAGTTTTGTTAACCGCTGAGTCCTGATAATATTTTAAAAATTACATATAAATAACAATTATTACTACATTTTCAGAAGACAAAACGTTATGCAACTGAGTAATCATTGAAGGATACATCCCGCTGCCTACCTTCCAAGCAATACCGATGAGATTGTGTACGATAGCTGGCAGCGGACCGTCAGTACATTGCATTGTATTGGCGACTGTCGCAATAAGACTTCTTTTCGATGACCAGAGCGCCTGATGCCACTCTTCTTACCGTAACAAAGGGATGGCAGATACGCGGCCGCTCCGTCTCACTTCTTAGACCGATGAGGCTGAATACTGCGGACAGGAGGCGACCGATCCAGACGAAGTGTCCAACGAATATCAACGGTATGATAATGGTTATCGATCTGCGAGAACGCAAAACAATGTTTAGTCGATTAATCAAAAGTCAGACAACGTGTAGAGACTATATAAATGAATGACTAATAGTTGTTGATGCTTGACAGCGACGCGACGTGTTCTTCCACCGTTATCTATTCGATCAGAGCTCCATCGTTCGCCGTTACCCTTTCCTCATCGATTGGGCCGATTACGTTATCACTGCGATAACGCACTTGATCGCTCATGCGCACAGTAGAATACTCATACTATTTTGCCGTGTTGTGCGCCGACGCCAGTTTGAATCAGCTCTCTTATCGCCACGGCTGTGGAAAGTACTTTATAAAATATCTACCGTGGTCCGTGATTATAAACGCCGAAACTACCTCCACTCATGATCGATTGAACTGTGTATGATAGCGTTTGAAGTTAAGTTATCACGTAATATACAGTACAATTGCAATACCTCTTCCACAATTCACGACGTCAATCTGTGCTCATGAAACAACAAAATGTCGATAACACGACAGACATTGGACTTCACATTACTTACAGAGATGTTTGTTTTGTTGTTCGCGTTTTGATTTATTTATACTTCCGTAAAATAACTAGACGACAATTTAGAGCTACAGTGATCAATCCATCCAAACGACTAACACTTGAAACAAATTAATATTTTACAGATTACTGTTACGCTGTGAACTTGTGCAGTAAAAATATCCACAGCATTCAACCCATAATGTTATTTTGCTTTTTATTAACCAAAACAAAAAATATTTATTTATGTTATAAGGTAGTTCCTAAAACTGTAAATTGTGTGATGGTGATTTCCTTTGTACCTTATTATTTTTATCAAAATATATTAGGACTCCAGATTAAGTTAGGACCACTAAGTTTATAGTTTAATTCCTATGGTTACGCCTATGTAATGGTGCCACTTATGACTTACATGTTAAGATATTATGAAAGAATTTCATTGCTTAAGCCAAATATATTAGGTATGTGCATGTATAGCGATTAGTAAACATGTCAATGTAAATTATACATCACTTATTATATAATATTATTTTTTGAACTTGATAGTTCGATATAATGCATATTAATACCAGAAAATATGAATTGTTATTTAGATTAAATGCAAAGAAACTTATTAATTAACTATTGTGTTTGAAGTTTGATTTTTCTCATTTAACATAAATAAGAATAAATATTATCTTTGCAAAAATTAATTTTCATAATAAATAAATGTACCTAACAAGGTGAAATAATAATGGAATTATGACTAAATATAATTTGTTAAAATAGTTAATAAAGTATCCAAATGAAAACTAAACAATATAAATACATTTAAGAAAAATATATAAAATAATATACATATTAGTCAATTATTTCAAGAAACAGGTTTTTATGATAGCGCAATAATGTTTTCAAAAGTACTTGTATTGAATTTTTAAATCCCATCATTACACTTAAATTTAAGTTTGAATCTAATGATAATAGATTCAAAGTAGTACATTTTACACTGACTGTTAAATTAACAATAGAAAATTTAATTTTGAATAAACGTTTTTAATTATATTAAATAAATGTTTTTTAGTTTTATCTAAATCTTAAATTAATATATTCAATACAATATGACGCAATTAAAAGTTTACATTTTATTATTAATCTATTTGTAATGGTTTCAGTTGTAAATTTAAAACTGACAGTTTAATTAAAATTTGAAAATCTGAGTTTTGTATATCCATTAAAATTATGCTTAGGTACTAATTATTTTTTAGTTTAAACTAATCCTTAAATTATTATATTGTACATAACAAAACATAATTTTTTGTTAAAATTTTATTTTGAATCTTAAAATAATGGTTTCAAAGCTGAAAATTCAAAACTGATTACTTTATAATCATTTGAAAATATAATTTTTGTATTTTTGTTATAATTATGATATAAATAAAACTTTTTTTGTTTTACCTTAATCTTAAATTAACATATTGAATATAACTAACCATCATGTATAAAAATACTGCTTGAAATTAGTTTATAATTAGTGGCTAATCGAATTCCAACGTGATGAGAACACCTTGTATGATGTTGACGTTTGACAATTCCCATATGCGATTCTGAGGCACATCTGTAAAAACAGTGGCAGTAATGACAGCACTCATAAAAACCTTCTTAGGTCTCACACAGGCGCAGAAAACATCAATACTCATAACTGGCATAGTATGTTACGTTTCATTGTTGGTTCAATCTTGAAGAAACACGAAGGCAACAGTTGTTCTTTCAACAATACATTTTCCCAATGTAGCTGGTAGTCTCATAGGACACTTACTATACAAACTCTTAAGACAGATATTTTGTTCTTTTAACATTCCTTACCATAAGCAGTTAGTTGGTCATTTACTCAATGTGACACAGAGTATCAACCAAAGCTAACGGAATTTTTTCTTTGTAATAATAATATTGATAAAATACAATTTAATGCTACAATTACGAGAGTATAGAAAATTGAGCAAATTAAATTGAAATAAGTTGTTGCTGAAAATAAAATAAAAACTAACTAATCAAACCGAAATGGACACATTTAACAAAAAATACATATTTCAATTTAAAAATATGATAATGAAACATTAACATTATACATATATTTTTATTTTTTTTACATACTATTTTATATATATAAATACTAACTTATGCATGTAGGTATATGAAAGAGCAAAACAAATATCACATAGAGTGTTACTGCTGGGTAGCTACTCTCTTTATACTTTCACAACCAATTTTTTATATTTTTTTCCGCTCAAATGCTTATTGTAACTATTATTACAGATTGTATATATTCTAATAAATGTTATAAATAATAAAAAAAAAATTATTATTGACATTATAATACAATTACAAAACAATTATTTATTCTTATTATGACTAAAAAATTGACTGTTTTAATATTATACTTAGACTAAAATCGAAATCTCGTGAAAATGTGTGTTAGGTAGAACACATCACTTTTATTAAAGGATTATTAATAAGGGAATTTAAATTTTTGATAAATTGATAATAATAAGATTAAGATATTTAAAGGACAAAGAGTTAGTTCTTTTTTTAGGAAATCATACATCATTAAAATCTTATGATTAATAAAATAATAAAATATTATTGAAATTAATCAGTATATACAAATATTAAAAATGAATTAATACCTAGTCCAAGAACATTTTTAGCTTTGTCATATTTAGTGTTTGATAATAGTATAGCCAATAAATACCTATGGCAGATGAAATAAAATATTAATCATTGTTATGATTTATTTGACTTGTTCGTGGTTTAACTTGTAGAAATATTTTCTTATAATTCAAATATTATATTAATAGATAAATAACATTCTATTGTTTAATTATACATTATAGTAAATTAGTTAGAGCATATTTGAATTAATTTTTAGTCCTTTGACAAACTATCCATTGTATGTACTATATCTTAACTAATTAACTACATTTGTATTTTATTAGCCAGAATTTATTATAGCTTAAAACTATTGAAGTTGTAAGTTCAACTGTTTTATTTCAAGTTTTTAAATATTCACAAGTTTTAATATTTTCTATTACAAATTTGAAGTCATATTAATTCATTTATTTGTTACACCAAGTATACATTTATTTTAAAATTAATTAAGTAAGTATTTTTCAAAAAACTATGATATTTTATGCCAACAACAAAAATTACAACTATGCATAATTATTATTAGTAATAGCACTATGTCATCCCGTACAATGAATAGAAAACGTAGTAGTGTTTGGCATCATTTCACTACATTGGATAACGTCAAGGCAAAATGCAATATTTGTTCAGAAACAAAAAGTTTTAATGGTGGCTCAACAGGAAACTTGTTATGTCATATGAAGTCCAATCACCCAACAATACCACTGGAAAGAAGTAAACAGGTAAATTAATATATTGGGGAGTTACAATGCAACTAAAGATTTTTTACATTTACATCAATGGCATTCACTGACTTTTTTGCGCGAGATGTCAATATTTTATCTCTGACAATAATAAAATTAATGAATTTTAAAATCATAGGAAGATGATTCAAACTCTGGCACAATTGATGACCCACAGCCATCAACTTCCTCAACAAATATGGAAAATCAACCAAATCAGGCCACAGCCTGCTAGACAGCAAAACAGTACACAAATGACTATGACAAACTTTGTTTAAAGACCAATTGCAATGAGTAAGGAGTAAGTCAAAGGCAATTGATCAACAACTAGTTAAAATGATTGTTAAAGAGTATCACCCATTCAGTGTTGTTGAAGATAAGGAATTTAAAAAGTTGATTCAAATGTTAAATCCAAGTTATATTATACCATCAATAAAAACTGTCACCCAGAGCTTATTGCCTCAAATGTATGAGATGACAAATGAAAAAATTAAAAATCAATTAAAAAATGTTTCGGCAGTTTGCATGAATACAGATGGCTGGACTTCATTAAATAATGAAAGTTTTGTTGCAGTCACTGTTCATTTTATCGACCCTTTAAATGAAACACAGCTGTCATCAGTATTGCTAGGTTGTAAAAATGTCCGCGACAAACATACTGCACAGAACTTAGTGCTTTTTTAAAAAAATACTGTAGATGAGTAAAACTTGATAAATAAACTAACTGGTGTAATATAAGTGACAATGCTAGCAACATTAAATCTGCATTACAAAAATGTAATTGGCAATATTTGTCTTGTTTTGCTCATTCAATCAATTTGGTTGTTCAGACAAGTTTAAAATCCAATAAGACAACTATACTAAAAGTAAAGACAAGTTTTTTAAGAAAAGTTCTGACGGTATAGGAAAATTACAAGATTTTCAAAAAAAACTGGCTTACTTCAATTAAAACTTAAAATGGACTGCCCAACCCATTGGAACTCAATATATGATATGTTTGACAGGATTTTATCGATTAAAGAATCCATTATTGTGCTATGGGCTACGAGATATGTTAATAATATAAATATATATAATATAATATGTAATATTGCTAGAAGTATTAGCAATAGTAATATAGATATATATGTGGCCTAATAATTATAATATATACGAGATAGTAGATTCATATTTCTATGAATCTTGTTTTTAAAAAACATCATAATAAATATATCAAAATAGCAGTCGTGTGAAGAGGTCGTTTAAATATATTATTGCATTTCCACGAATTGCCAATTAAGAACAGAAGACATCCTGGAGATTGTTGTTTTAAAGTGTGAAAACAATTCCAAGAATTAATATGAATTAGAAAGTTGTAGACTACAACAACAAGAGACTTCTTTGTAAATAAGGGAGTCCAGAGACCAACAGGGGCAGATGTACCAGAGCCACGAAGACCTGAGCAACTTCACAACACTCGGCCACTTTTTGTATCAGTTACATGAACTTTATACGTAATAAACACATTAGTGTTCTTAAGAGTTGTAATTTTCATTTAAATAAAACCCAGGATCTGGATCTGATATTGGCACACAACAATTGCTACCCTTGCAGTATTGGGTAACAGTGAGTTAAACTCTCTCAGTTCACAAGAATAGTCTACTTGAGCATGCACGGGATATACTAAAAATATTTTATGATGTCACTGTTAAGATTAGTGCTGACAAATATGTTACATTATCAAAAGAAATTATTTTTGTTAATTCTTTAAATAAGTATGTCACAAAGTTTGTTAACAATAATACATTACCAACTGCTATTCAGCATATGGCTAAAACGATGAGTGAAGAATTGAATAAAAGGTTTTATGACAATGAAGATAATCCATTGGTAACTCAAGCAGCACTTTTAGATCCAAGATTCAAAAAGCATGTGTTTTCAAGTGTTACAAAATATGCAAATGCTATGAATTTTCTAAGGGCAAAGATTCAAAATATTACACTAGAACAGGACACATTTGAACAACAACCCAGTACAACTGCAACTGCCACTGCAAATTCAACTGCTTCTCAATCAATTTTGTGGGAAAAATTTTATCAAACAGTGGTTAATTTGATTGGAGGACCAAATCCATTAGTTGCTGGAATTGTCAAAGTAAAAAAATATTTGAACAGACCTTTAATAAGTAGATTTGAAAATCCCTTAGCTTGGTGGGCCGAACGAAAAAAAGTTTATCCAAGAATGTATGAGTTGGTAAAAAGATGACTATGCATGATTGCAACTTCAGTGCCATGTGAGCGAGTTTCCTCAAGAGCTGGGCAAGTAGTGACTGAAAAAAGAAGTAGATTGACAACCAGTAAAATTTCACAAATTTTATTTTTTAATCATTATTTGTGAACGTTCTAATATGTACCTATATTTGTAAATAATATTTTTATGTTACATTGACATGTATTTAAAAGAATACTGAAAAAAGTTTATGACAGCATATAAAACATAAAGGTAATTTAATCTACATAAATTAAATGTGACACTCTTATTAATTGTACATACAGTTTTTATATAACACCTTTCCTACTTACATATTGACATGTTTGAAAAATAATAATATTGAAGAAGTGAAGACAGTTAATATCACAATTTAAAGGCACTACAAAGTACGGTACATTCATTCACGAATAAATCGTGACGGTTTACGAATCACAGCCCACGGATCGTATCCAGTGTATCCAATTCACAAAAAAAAATACTGACGAACGACCAGATCATTTTTACACGATTCTAATCCTTTCGTTCAATACATTGAATCGGATCACATGACCCGTTTGTTTCGTTCGCGAACGACACACCTGCTTTAGGTGTTGTTAATCCGCTGTCGCCGCCGTCGCTATCGCAAACGATGTTCATTCATTTATAGTTCTACAATAATTGTCGTGACTTTTGTGTAATCGACCGACATTTGTTTTGCGTTCCTCGTACTTAGTCACCGATAACCATTACCGCGTTTTGTGATAGTTTCCGTTCGGCATTCGTTGTGATCGGTCGCTCTCTGTCGCTGTATTCGGCCTATCGGTAATCTAAGTGAGACGGGCGCGGCCGCAGGTTTTCACCATTTTGTTTACCGGTAAGTAGTTATTAGGCGTGTGCACGAAGTCGCTATTATACAATGCAATTATGACGGTCTCGTTGCCGCTATCGTACACAATCTACATCGGTATTGTTGAAGTAGGGCGGCGGCGACGGTGTCACTTCCTCAGGTCGTGATTACCTAGTTATAAGTGTTTGTCTCTTCGCGGATAATGTAGTAATAATTGTTATTTATATATAATTTTTAAAATTATTGTTTCAGGACGGCAGTCAAAACTTTAAAGGGAGCTGTTACAAGTGTTGTGTACAGAGTGGCGAACCTTCCACTGCTGCTGTTGATTTCGATAAATTTTCACTGTCGACATAGGTGCTATTACCTAAGTTATTATTACTACTGCTGAGAGGATAATCACAGTTGAAGTGATAAGAACATGCATGAAGGGCTTATTCATGAAGAATACTTACAGTAAACAAAACAATATATTTTGTCAGTCAACGTACTAAATCGAAATGGAAGGTGTACCGGATGTATATGATTGGCTTACCAGCCAAACAGTGTGATGAGAAGCATAAACCTGATTTTTCATCAACTTTAAATCATGTAAATATTAAATTATATAATTAATAGTAAAATTAAAGTAAATTTTTATATTAAGTACAATAAGCAATACGTAACTG